AGGAAGGCCTGGCGCAATACGGTTCATGGGGTCACGAAGAGTCGGACACGACTTAACGACTGAACAACAACAACAAAATGCAAGTTAAATTAAGTTATATTTTTGTCGGTCCCAGTCACTCGTCTTGACCCCATCTGTTTTTAGACCCAACATGCCATTTAAAAAATAGGTGCAGCCCTTGCCCCTACCATTGGAAAATAAATTGGGATGAGAGACTGTAACTGGTCCAAAGTCACCCAGTGATCTTCTGCAGCTAATGGACATGAATCTGGGTCTCCTTGTTCTAATCCAGTACTTCAATCACTGCACTACACTGGCTCCCTATTTTTAAAATATTTGAGTTCTGTCTTCCAACTATATGATCTCAAGATATTTTGCAACTCATCATTGAATCCTCCCCCATGTAAAATGGCACATTTCATGTTACAGATGGATCCCCCAGTGTGCAGACCTTTTTGTTGATCAGAAAGAAAAGTGGTTGCATCTTGCCCCACAAAATGACTTTGATTCTTCTCAGCAAATAGAGGAATATTTTGCTTCAGTAGCCATCCTGATGTCCTTGCAACTACGGGAGATGGTCATTAATTCTCTAGAAGACCTCCTCACCTTTTTTAAGATACACAAGGTAGGTAGATCTGACCATATTAAAAGGAGTCCTTGGTGCTCTCTTAGCTTGGTTGTTTGATTGCAGACATTTCATTACCCAAGTGAGTAATGGTAATGAAACAGGTAACATCATCAGTGTGAGTGAGTGAGTTTGCTCCCTGCTTATATACAGTAGCTTGCCCTGCCAGTGTTGATGGGGGTGTGGTTTTCTCCTTGGTAGTTCCTTGATTAGGGTATTGTTTTCTGCTTGATTGTTTGTCTCCAGACAATCTCCAGTGCTGCACTCATGGCCTATCTGCTGCTGTGCCATACATTTCTCTACATACCTCTTAGCAATTCCAGTTTCAACTGTAGACAGCCCCAGTTCCTGAAAATCGGTCCTTTCTGGTTGTTCCCTGGATATAATTTCTTTCCTTCTTTGTCTTGAGGACGGAAATGACTTTGGTGACACTTATCATGATATGCAGTTCTTTATTCCGCAAATACTGGTCATCAAATTGGATGTGGAAGAACCTTCTATTATATTTGAGCCGGATGTGAGAAATTTATGGGATTTAATCTACCGCTGTTTTATTGAGATTCTCAAGCATTCTGAAGGTCTCCCAAAGGTATGCAGAATGAATATCAAGGCTGGGTTCTCTTCTTATGTTACTCTATAGTTTGTTTTAACTGTTGAAGAAATCATAAATGAAAGCTGAACGAGCCACCTTTGCACTTTATCTCTGTGTGAGAATCCAGCTTCAAATTGCATTCTTAGGCATGTTTGCTGAGCTAGAAGCTGCATTGTGTTCAGTTAGCTTAACTGTTAGATAAGTGTGCATAAAATTGAAACTATTCTTTACCAGGAATTAATCTAAATTAATATATTAGGTTTGGTTCACCCAACCCAATAGTCTAGACCAGTGTTTCTCAGCCTTGGCAGCCTCCCAGAATTCTGAGAGTTGAACTCCAGATATCTTCAAGTTGCCAAAGTTGAGAAATGCTGGTCTAGACTGAAAGTGGGGCGAGCAATTTGTGGTTCAGCACATTGTAGGAATTCAGCCATTGGTTAAGCATATTGAGTGAATCAGCCCATTAAACCGTATTACAACATCTGTTTGGGCATTGCATTTTATATGAAAACAGCAACTGTGTTTTGTTAACCAAGATTATAGGTTAAGCATAGCATGTGAACCCAGCCTCGGGTGTCCTTTTCAATAAACTTGGTTAGGTTCAGGCAATACAGTGGCTTGTAGAATGAATCATCATGCCAAAATATGTTTCTTTACCACATTGTGGTTCAGTTCACGCATTGTGAAACCCTGAAGCATGATTTAATAAACAATGGGCTGGATTTGCATATAATGATGTGAAAAACAAACCATGTATTTCTGTGCCCCTTCCTTTCACTAGCTTAGGTGACCTTTTATGTTAGTGATATGGTTTTAAAGAATCAGCCACAGAAATAATGATATTTTGTTTCACCTGTAAATTAGGATGATCAAATCTGGATTGTAAAAATCTGGCCAGCCACTAGATGTCAGCAAAGGTTAGAGCTTTCTTAGCCCACCTGTGGTAGACCAAACATAGATATGGTCTTGAGTAGATAGAATTGTATAATGTCAATTATTCTGTTCATTGAGGCTTTAATCTTGTGTAAGTTCAACTTTGGAATTATTTCTGAGTTAAGTCATAGATATGAGCTAAAACTTTTGCTGCAATGTGTTTTCATCATCAGAAGGGTAATAAAATATTTTGCCTAAGATTATCCTATTTTTGGCGGGTGTGTTTGTGTGTGTGTGATATTAGTATTTATATTTTAGGTTCAAGTTAAACTCTTCCCAGAATTAAAAGGAGATGACCTAATTCTTCGTACTGTCAACGAGAATGAAACATTGGTGGCAGACTATGTAAAAAAAACTGCAGAGATATTTAACCTCAATCTAATTGGTCCACAAAAGTAAGTTTGGAGGAACAGAAGAACAGAGGAGAGGGCTGGTCCCCTACATTCTCGTCCCAGAAATGTTTCCTCTGGCATTTATTTCTGGTGTTTTCCATCTGGCATAGATTCCTGCAGTGGGTGTGGTTGGACTGGATGATGTCCATCTTTCCATTCCATTCTGTGATTTTTAAAAAAAAATTACTGAATTTGAGGGCTCTGTTCAAAAGAGAACAAGGGGGTTATGGTTGTCTAAACAGAATAGCTCCTGCAAGGTGAGTAATTGGGTATATATTGGGCTAAGCCCCCATGGCTAGTTTATGTTTGGTTTAGGATGATGTGAACCCTGCTAGGATGTCATAATGTTATGGGTGAACCAGGTCAACACTTGTATCCAAACAACCATGGTTAAACCCCACCTGGCTTAATGTGACGTGTGAAACTAGCCCATAGAATAGAGTGAGATGTTGCTGCTATTTGAAAAGAAGGAGGTTCCATAATCTTGATTTAGAGAACTTGTTTTGTGCATGATCTTTCTGTATTTAAGGTACTTGAATGTGTACAGGAAATACAACGATCTCTTGAATAACAATGCTGACAAAGATGTGACTGAATTTTTAAGCAAAAGACACGATCTGGAAGATTTTGTAGAGGTATTGCTTTTGTTGGTTGAGAAGAGAAATGTTCTTGTTAATATAATCCTAGGAAAACCCTGGAATGCTGGTCTAGATCACCCCTTGATCCAGTCCTGATAATTTTAGATCAACGTTTTTCAAACTTGGCCACTTTAAGATGTGTGGACTTCAACTCCCAGAATTACCTAGCCAGCCTGGGTGGGTAATTCTGGG